TGAGCTGTTGTTCAGCATCTTAGCTGTGGAGGGCAGTGTCACTGGCCCTCCTATGTGGGATCCGAACCGGGGCCCTCTGGCATCCCAAGCGAGTTCTTAACCATCGCGCCACTCGGCCGGCCCAAGATAACACTTTTATTATGGTATATTACTAGATATTTTTAGCAAAAACAGAAGTTATTTTGCCATTGTTGATTGCCTACTAAATAATACACACAGGCACGTGCGTGCACATGCACAAACACACACACACACACGACATATTGGTAATTTAGTGAATAGATATGCAATAGATTAATTCATTTTGACCATGTCTTGTACTTTATTTGCCCAATTGTAATTATCAGTAGGTTGTACTCAGTCTGACCCTTAATATGGTAAAGATGAAATTGTTGAAAAGTAAATGAAATAGTGTTTATTTGAAAATAGCAATCGAAAATATTTTAATACAAGTTTTGTAGAATTTCTTTCTGGAACTTAAAAATGTTAGTAAATATTAAAAGTTGAGTACAGAAATGTGAAGGCTCAAATTCTTAAAATTTAAATGAACCACAATTCCATTACAAACCTGAATTGTTAACTTTATCAGTTAAGATATTTGAATATTAACATATTTAAATAATATCTTATGTAAATATTAATATTATTAATATATTAATATAATAAATACATATATTTGGTAATAAATGTGATTTCTTAGGTGGATTCAAAAGTGTTGCCACTCTTAATAAAGGTGAATAAGCTTTTCAAGGGTTTATTCTTTGAAGAGTTTAAAGCCCATCACACAAAGTATTTTCAACTTCCTAAATTAATTTGAAACCTGTGCATTTAGAAAAATACTACAAAATTGACTTTTCCAATATCTTTGGTCAAGTTTTTATAATATGAGAGATGAGAAATGATGAAAAATATTTGACATCTAAGACTTCAGAGTTAAGCCAGTAAGCTAAAGTTTAAAATTGCATCCTAATTGCCCCACTATATTAAACTAATGCAACGTCTGTTCAATAGGGGAACGCTGCCTCGACGATGACACTTACATGAAGGACTTATATCAGCTCAACCCAAATGCTGAGTGGGTTATAAAGTCCAAGCCATCATAGAAGACTTACAGAAGACTTATGCTGCAGATAACCATAGGACTTCCTTATTAATACTTGCTGGGTCAAGAGTGTAAATAAAAAAAAAAAACAGCAGAACTCTTTTATTATTCAGATGTACCCAACTATTGAATAGTGACACTCTCAAGCCTTAAAAAGTTATAGATTTGTGCTGCTGCCAGAATTATGTTCATTATTAATATTATTATTAGAAAACAATTATCTCTGGAGTGAAAAGAAAGGGCTTAATTCGCGTGTAGGTTATTTTCATATACTCTGTGAAATGTGCCCAGATGTGACATAGATTTTTTTATATGAAATATACCCTCATCTCACTTTTTTCTATGAAAATCATGTATACTGTAATATATGCCTTCTCACCTTTCTCGCCTCCTCACATCAGCCTTTCCCCAATTAGGTTTGCTTTTTAATAAAAAAGATAACAAATATCAGGTATGGCAACTTGCGAAGACAGTACATCTTAAAACAGCCTGAATTCAACAGTATTCCTGTGACTATCGAATGTTGAATATTCATCTCTTTGAATCATTTGTTCAAACAATAACATCATACTTCTCCCTGCTGTATCGCATGAAGTGATTTGCATTTTTTTTTCAGTTCATCTGACATATGTGCACAGAACTGCATCCACTGTCAAGTAAAGAGAACTGTCAGAAACTGCCAATTATTACTGAACCATTAAAGACTTCCATACTAAGAATAAATAAAATATATCCATGTGGAATAACTGGATTATGGATAGTAAGAGAGTGAAAGCCAAATCACTCCATGTGTGCTGTACTCTTCTAAATGAAATTTAAAAAGTAGTAGCTAGCTTTACCCATTGTCATACTAGCAATATAAATATGCATGAGAGTAAAATCCAGTAATGGTTGAGAATGTATTCTACTGAAAGAGGAATTTTTTTTTAACTCATAAATAAGTCTGCAGGAAGAGTTATTCTTCTGGGTATGACACAATCATATGAACAAGCTTTTGTTTGTGTACTTATTTTAAATAATCAGAGTAAATTTATTAAAATGCTGCAGAAAGTACTATTCCCAGGGATTTTAATGCACAAACCATATTGTGACAAGAGATGAGCCTGTGTACTGTAAATAAGAAGAATGAAGTGAGAGAAAAATGTTTAATATTTTATGAGTTTAGAGTGTAGTAAATAAAAGGTGACATAAATGAATGTTGCACAAACTGTGTTTATGATACTTTTAGTAGTACTTTAGGAAATTTTGCACATTCTCAGAAGCTATTGATGTCACTCTAATTAGGAGGGAAAATGCTATTAATGAGAACAGTCATAAATTTTTAGCCTATAATTACAAGAACAGCCTGTGGATATGATCATTTAAATAACTTTTTGGTGATTTGTGCCATTGCTTTTTTATTTAAATTTTTTTTTTATAATTAAATACATTTTTTTCTAAATCATCTTCTCTTGGAATTATTACTTTTAATCCTATGTGTGCATGAGTGTACTAATGGACCATTTTTTGTTGTTGTTAAAACCATATTGTTGCTCCTGTGTAATTTTTAAAGTGGGAAGGCATGGGAGATATAAACTTGTTTCTTTCTTTTTTTTCTTAGCAAATTTCTGTTCTTTATGATTTTTCAAACCACACTGTATTCTCTTTCTGATTTTGACCACACACACACACACACACACACACACACACACACACACACACACACACAGAGGGTGCCAAAAAAATGTATACACATTTTAAGAAGGAAAAACCTGTGTTAAAATTATAATACTCAATATATACCGATAACGAAAGATGAATACAAGCCATGTATATACGTTTTTTTGGCACCCTCTGTGTGTGTGTAGACATATATGAATTTCCAAGTTAGCAAACTGTTTTATTACTGGCTTAATTTATTAAAAACAACAATATAAAAGCAAAGTCAAGTTCTTAAAACATTTTCAGTACACAACTTCAAAAGACAGGAATGAATATAGTGATTTAGATAAATGGTTTCCAAAAATACATGTCAACTAATTTTCACCACACTTACTACTCGCCTGGGAAAAGGGGCACAAGAGGCTTTTGATAATGAAAAAATACCAGATTTTGGTAAATAAATATAAAAATGTTATTTTATTTTGAGTTTTTCATAGAACTCATGGTCCATATTCATTGACATTGAACGTTGTTGCATTTAAATAGCCAATAAAGATGCCTATCTATACTTCTTTTTTTAATTAAAGTTTATTGGGGTGACAATTGTTAGGAAAGTTACATAGATTTCAGGTGTACAGTTCTGTAATACACCATCTATATATCACATTGTGTGTTCACCACTCAGAGTCAGTTCTTTCCATCAGCATATATTTGATCCCTTTTACCCTCATCTGCTACCCCTCTGCCCCCTTACTCTCTGGGAGCCACTAAACTATTGTCTGTGTCTATGAGTTTTTGTTTCTTCATTTGTTTCTTCATGTCCTTTGTCGTTTTCAGTTTTATATACCACATATCAGTGAAATCATATGGTTCTCTACTTTTTTGGTCTGATTTATTTTGCTTAGTATAATCTCAAGATCCATCCATGTTGTCTCAAATGGCATTATTTCATCTTTTCTTATGGTAGAATAGTATTCCATTGTGTACACTATTGGTGGGAATGCAGATTGGTGCAGCCACTAGGGAAGGTAGTGTGGAGGTTCCTCAAAAAATTAAGAGTAGAATTACCATATGACCCAGCAATCCCTCTCTGGGGTATCTACCCAAAAAATCTGAAAACATTTATCCATAAAGGTATATGTGCTCTGATGTTCATTGCAGCTTTATTTATGGTGGCCAAGACATGGAAACAACCAGTCTCCTTCGATAGATGATTCAATAAAGAGGATGTGGTATGTACCTATACTTCCAAAGAGGAGAAACTTGATAATGTAGAGCCTCAAATATAAATGCCCTGGAATTAACCCAAATGCTTTTTCTGTGATTTTTTTTTCTAGTGAATTTTAAGTCTCAGGGTAGATTAGTTTTTTAACTGTGTGTGTATGTGTGTGTGTGTGTGTGTGTGTGTGTGTGTGTGTGTGTGTGTGAGGGGGGAATAAAAATAACAAATATATTTGCTTTGAGTCTCAAACATCCTAACTCTTAAGGGAGTTGCTGGTGAAAAGAGCTGATATGTATAGAAAACTGGTTGCTCTGTTAATATTTCAGGGATGTTTCATCTTTTCCGAATGGGTTACTGTAATTCTTTACAATTACACAGTATTTGTAATTGCTGTAGAATTCAATGTAAGTGCCTTGCTAGCACTCTTTGGGAAAAGCAGTTTATTTTACTGATTGCATGGGATTTTTCATTGTTGCTTTTTCCTACTTTAAACGGATTCACTTTTAACCTCATTGTCCTGATTTCTCATCTGCTGATCGGTAGGTGGCAGTATTGCTTAGGGATTCCTTTGCCGCTAAACTGGAAGTGTTGAAAGTGAGCTTGAGTTCATAGGTAAGTGCTTCAGACTTGACAACGGATCTTTCACTTTAATCACTGATTCTGAAAATTGTAAATAATGATTCATTTCAGAGTGTCTATGTTCAGTCTGTTAGCCTGCTTTTATCCTTAACGCGTTGAGAAGGAAAAGAGAAGGTTTTTCTGAGCCAGAATTAGACATTTGGGCAATGTCTATTTCAAGCAGAAGGATCTTAATAAGGACAGACACAGACAGTGAACTAGCGAGGTAAAAAGATGGATGTCTAAGACAGAGGATCTATGACCTCTGTCTTTATTTTAATATATACGTATACAAATTTGTTTCTTCATTCAACCAGTATTTACTGGGCACCAACATATAGTGCCAGCCATGGTCTACCTTGAGTACATCAGTGAATAAAATAGCTTTGCTCTCATTGAACCTACATTCTAGTGAAGGGAGACGAATAATGAATTAAAAAGAATAAGTAAAATTGTATGTTGCAAGGATGGAAGTGCAGTGGTGACAGAAAAAAGATAAGCAGAATAAATGGGACAAAGAGTGGAGATATAGTATCATTGCAGTAGTAAACGGTTTGTTAAATATCTAATAACTGAGCAAAGACTTGAAGGAAGTGAAGAACTTGCCACATGGATATCTGGGAGAAGGGCATTCCAGACAGAGGGAATAACTAGAGCAAAGGCCCAAAGGAAGGAGTATACCTGGTTTACCAAAGATGAGCAAGGAAACCAGCATGGCTGGTGGAGTTAGGGCCAGTGAAAGTAATAGATAATGTTAGACAAGTAATGGGCAGGAATGGGGGTGAGACCGTGGATGGCCCTCTCTTAGGTGACTAATTTATTCAAATCAGGACATTTTTGAGAGTGAAATGGCACTGTTGGTGAGGGTCATAACTGTGGTGTGATAAGTGGTAGATGCTGGATATATTTTTGAAGGTATAACCTACAGGGTAGGAGAATTCATTTTTAATTAAGAATAACCACAAGATTTTTTTTGTTTGTTTAAGATTTTATTGGGGATTTGGGGGAGGGGAACAGACAAGTTGCTGTCCTTTTTTGTTCTTAAGTCTAGTTGTGGAGGACATTGCTTCACTGGCCCATGTTGGTATTGTGATCATTGCGCTCTTCCCGGGTGAGACAGTCGCTCACTGGCCATTGAACAGCCGCTCATGGTGGCTCACGGCAGCTCTTGCCGGCTGCTGGCCACTCACGGTAGCTTACGGCAGCCCATTGCAGCAGGGGCTGCAGCCTACATCATTGCTGGCGACTCACGGCAGCCCAGCTCCAGGTCGAACTGTTGTTCACCATCTTAGCTGTAGAGGGCACAGCGTCACTGGCTCATGTGAGATCCGAACCGGCGGCCCTCTGCTCAGAGTTCATGCTCCCAAGCCAACTCAACCAATGAGCCACACGTCCGGCCCAACCACAAGATTTTTGATATGAGCAATTGGGAGGATGGAGTTTCCAACAACAGAAATAGGGAAGGTGAAGGTCATTCAGGTATTCTGACAGAAGAGGGATTCAGGATGTGTTGAATTTGAGGTGCCTCTTGTATATCCAAGTGACAGTGTTGAGTACGCAGTTATTTGTGCAGAAGTGTGGAGAGAGCTCTGGGCTGGAGTCATCGGC